AAGCAGTGGTATCAACGCAGAGTACTGGTGCAAAAGTAGTCTTTTTTTTATTAATAATATAGGCACTAAATAGAATTGTGAGTTTTCGTTTGTGCGTTTTATGCTCGCAAAGTGCTGTTATCAGTGCATTTGCGGGCTTTTTTGTTTTCGTCGCGCTTTCAATTGAATTGTACCAAACTTCCATTTTGATTCCATTTACCTTCCATTTTTTTGTTAATTCTGGCACAAAAACTTCCATTTGCTTTCCAAATACTTCCACTATACTTCCATTAGGTCAGATAAAACCTCTTAAACCCCATTTTAACGCCATTTAACCACCTTTTTAACCATTCCGCATAAATACACTTGCCCGCCCATCCACACACTCTTGCTCACGACATTTTTGTCGCCAGCTTATCCTGATTTTTTTTTTGTACTTTTTGAGTTGGTTAGTCATTTGGTTAGTCATTTGGTTAGTCAATTTTGTTCACAAAACGAAAACAATAATTTGTATTGATATATGTATAATAATGTAAAAATACCCTATAATACACAATGTGTTTAACACTCAAATGATTGAAAAACAGTGGTTTAATCTTTGATTTTGTCTTGCAACACTGCAATTTTTGCGTCTTGCCCTGAAATTGTACTTTTTAATGATATAATAATTTGTTCGTTTATTTGACAAACATGGCATTTTTGTTTGCCAGAATTGATATTTGATATTGATGATCCAAACAACAACCAATTAATATCAACATGTTCACACTTTGATAATACAAGTTCAAAATCAATAGTATTTCTGGTGTACCAATTTGAAATCGTTGTTTTACTAATACCCAAGAAGTTTGCTAATTCCTTGTCGGTACGGAAATTATTTACCTCTTTTAATCTATTGATTATCAATTCTTTGTTAAAAAAAGTTTTCATTTTGTGAATTTTCTTGTCAAAATATTTGGAAGTTTGCAAAATGTGAACTTAATTTGTTCACGATTTGAGAACAAAAATAAATCAAAGGAAATGGAAATGCAAGAATTGAAATCTTTTTGTAGCGAAACGCCCAAACGAATGATTGCTAGAAAATGCAAAGTAAGCGTTCGGTATGTTGACCAGATAATTAACGGCGAACGAACTCCTAATAAAAAGAAAGGTTTAGAAGTAAAAAAAGCTCTTCAAGAGATATACTCAAGTAATATATTGTAATGCAATATTACAACAACATATTAGCTGTAGAAAGTTCGTGGCTGGTTGATTCTGGTATTATCACATTCGGAAATTATATCAATCTACGAAAACGCAAGCAAATCAACGTCCTTCGTCGTGGATGCAACGCTACTCAAGCCCTTGTTGAGTACGAAAGTCTTCCGGAAAGATTCAAACAAAAAGTGAAAGATATTGTTGGCGATCCATATAAAATTGTCAAACAAAATCGTATTGCTGAACTAATCGACGATAGTTCAGAAGCGTCAAAATTCTTTGATGAATTCATTACAGCCGAAGGTAAATACCTTCCTGTTGAAAAAAGACGTGAATACTATGTCAACGCCATTGTTCTGAATGCCGTGCGTGCTTTCGAGAACAAACACAAGTCGCAACGTGCAAAGATTGGTGGTCGCAAGGCACGCGTGATTGATTTTGCCATCGAGGCAATTTCTGATCTCGACCGTAGCCGTTACCCATTCAACCTTCCGGATAATGCAAGAGCCTTTGAACGTAAGTATCGTGATTACTGCAAGAATGGATACGAGTCGCTCATTCACAATGCCTACAAGAACGGTGCAAAGAATGCAGCAATTGTAACAGAGGAAGGCGAAGCAATGCTAACAATGTTGCTTGCCCATCCAAACAACTTCGACAACGAACAAATTGCACGACTTTATGGTGAATTTGCAAAAATTCAGGGGACAAAGCCAATATCATCAAGCACAGTTGCCGTTTGGCGCGACAAACTTGATTCTGTTACATTCGCCCGCCGTCGCGGATCTAAGGAATTCTTCAACAATAAGACAATGCAGGTTACTCGATCACTACCTTCGTATCCTCTTGCAATGTGGACATTGGACGGATGGGATGCCGAACTGTTCTACCGCGACGACAACGGTGGCACAACACACCGAGTTACGCTTGAGGTTGTTGTTGATCCATATTTCTACTATCCGATTGGCTACGCAATAAGCAGACCAGGAAAAGCCGAAAGTGCTGAACTTATAACACGATCGCTTCAGAATGCGCTGCATCATACCAGAGAGTTGTTCGGCGAAATGTATCAGGCTAACCAGATACAATCCGACAATTTCGCAAAATCGGCAATGCGTCCGTTCTACGATGTTGCCGGCGACAAATATACTCCGGCAAAAAAAGGAAACGCAAAGTCAAAGGTAGTAGAGCGTTACTTCAAATACCTTAACCAGAAATATTGCCAGTTCCAAAGCAATTGGAGTGGCTGGGGCGTTACTTCGAGAACTGCGCAGCCTAACTACGACGACGAAGTTAGAAAGCTTCGCTACATACCTACATACGACGAAGTATGCAGTCAGATAGAGTCAATAATGGATTATGAACGACGCGAAAAGCACGATTTGTATGTGAAAGGATTCTCTCTTATTCCTGAAGAAAGAAAATTGCCTTTGGATATGCATCGTTACCTAATGATATTCGGTATGCAGACCACCAAGACAATAATGATGCGCGGTGAAGGTATTCGTCTGCAACTTGGTGGAAAGAAATACTTGTTCGACAGCTTCGATGTAAACTTCCGCAAGTATTCGAGCACGCAATGGCAAATACGTTACGATGAGTCTGATATGAGCCGTGTTGTTGCAGTAAACGAAGACGAAACATTGCAGTTCCTATTGGAAGAAAAGTTTGTTCAGCCTATGGCTCTGTGTGAACGAACCGAAGAAGCCACGTTGCAGTTGGACCGCGTGCGCGATTTCAACAGAGAATTGGTTGAACAAAACACCAAGTCGATAGTTAGCGCACAGGACAGAGTGGAAAAAATACTCGAAAGCAAGAAGGAACTTGAAACATTGCAGAAGTTATTGCTTACAGACGGAAACGGACAGCACAAGAACAACCGCAACCGTTTACGCAAGGCAATAGAAGGCGAAACGGTAGCCGAAATAGTCAACAACGATTCAATATACGATAACTATTAAAAACTCATTGATATGGAAACAGAAAAGCAGATTGTTATTCTCCAAACGGATTGTCCATGTGATATTCGCATTCAAAGGAAAGGGCATTGTTCTTACAATACAACCGAAAGAACGACTCAACATAGTCAAGAATACATTTTAGACGATACAGATCTCGAGCCTGAAGAATCAGAGGGACTGCCATTGTGTATTCTCCAAGATTGTAAGGTTTCTCAACGTATTGTTCGTATGCTTTCCGAATCTCCTTCGGCGCGTGGACCGATAAGATATCGAACATACGACCCATCTCTCGTAACGGAGCTTTTAGCTCGTGCAGACAGTCTTTCAACCTTTCTTTTGCATCAGAATCAGAAAAAGAATTGTCAGCGGAAATAAACGCATAGAATGAAATATAAATCATAACTCTAAAAAATTTCTCAAAGATATGGAACAGATAAAGAAACAACAAATCGCAAACGCGTTACAGAAGTACGCTGAACGCTACGAAAGTCAGAACAAAGCTGCAGTTGCAATCGGCGTTAGTTCCGCAACGGTGAGCCAGATAATCAACGGCAACTGGGAATTGATTAAGGACGAAATGTGGCGCACGGTGGCGAGTGCCATCAATTTCAAGTCGGAGAAATGGGAAGCTGTCCCTACAACCGACTTCCAGATGATGACTAATATACTTGCCGATGCTCAAGAGAATGCTTTAGTAATGGCAATTGTAGGAAATGCCGGAAGCGGAAAGACATTTGCCTGCAAGCAATATGCCGAAAGCAACAAACAAGTGTATTTGCTATGCTGCAACGAGTTCTGGAACCGCAAGACATTCCTTCAGGAGCTTTGTTCTGCAATTGCAGTTAACAGCAACGGAATGACTACTGCAGACATGGTTTACCAAATAGTTAAACGATTGAAATCTCAGTCTGCACCACTTATCATATTGGACGAAGCCGACAAACTAACAGACCAATTGTTGTATTTCTTCATCACATTGTATAATCAGTTGGAAGATGAATGCGGCATAATACTAACAGCAACAGATTACCTAGATAAACGATTGCGTAAAGGTGTTAGGCTTAACAAGAAAGGCTACAACGAAATATGGAGTAGAATCGGCAGAAAGTGCATACAACTTCGTGGCGTGAGTGCATCGGATGTAGCAAAGATATGCGAGGCAAACGGCGTAACGGTCGCTAAGGATATAGATGCAGTAATCGACGACTGCGACAGCGACCTCCGTCGAGTACGACGGAAAATTCATGCAATCAACAAGAAAAACAAAACAACTAAAGAAAATATGGCAGTAAGTCCGAAGTGGGTAGCGGAAACCTCTCATGATTAGATATAGAAACAAACAAGGAATTTTATTTAGTTAATTAACTTATTCTTCTTTAAGCCTCTCGTGTCGGGTTCGATTTCCGATCTGCCACCAAAATTATACAATATGAAAAGAGCATTAAACATCAACGACATTGTGACCTATTCTCCAGATGTCGTTGAATTCGAAAATCAATGGCTTGCAAGCTTTGGCAAGCCAGAACTTACAGGGTCATGGATAGTATGGGGTAATTCAGGGAATGGGAAAACACGCTTTGCTTTGCAGTTGGCTAAATACTTTGCCAAGTTCGTTAAGACAGCATACGATTCGTTGGAGGAAGGACTTTCGCTTTCGATGCAGCAGGCTATTATTTCCGTAGGTATGAGCGATGTTTCACGTAAGTTCCTATTCCTCGACAAAGAGCCGATTGAAGACCTTTCAAACAGGCTTAAAAAAGCTCGTTCGCCAAAGGTTGTGGTGATAGATTCGCTTCAATACACTGGCTTAAACTACGAAGCATACAAGCAACTTGTTCAAAAGCACAGAAATAAGTTGTTCATATTCGTATCTCACGCCGACGGCAAGGAACCGAAAGGCAACACGGCAAAATCAATCCGTTACGATGCCAGCGTGAAAGTAAGAATCGAAGGTTACAGAGCATTCCCTATGAGCCGTTATGGTGGCGGAGAACCGTTCACCGTATGGGAAAAAGGAGCAAGCGATTATTGGTTGGAATCAGATAAACTATAGTGATATGAAACAATTAAGAAACACACTCATTGCAAGAGCTCACCAGTTATGCCACCGGCTTGGACTGTCGGAGGACGATCGTAGAGCAATGCTTGTGGCAAATTACGGAACCGACACAATGAAAAACATGAAGTATTACCAATTGACACTATTGTGCGACCAACTTCAACAACGAGTGTCGGAAAGAACAACTGACCAGGAAAGGAAAACAAATGCTGAGTTGGACAAAGCACGCAAGAAACTTATAGCAGCAATTGGCGGTTACCTTCGTGCAACAGGTCAAGAAGAAAATATGGAGTTGATAAAAGGAGTTGCGTGTCGTGCCGCAATGGTGCAACACTTCAACAAAATAGATATAGCAGAACTTAAAAGACTGTCTGTAATCTTCATGAAAAAATCAAACGATAGAATAAAACAAAATGTACTAACACAAATTAATATCAACTAGAATGAAAGCTACTGAAGATCAAAAAAAATGGCTTGTAAAAAATTACATGTTAGCAAGCAAAAGACAAATCGAAAAGAAATTCCCTGATTGCACCTACACCGAGGTTATAATCTACGGGAAGTCGCTTGGCCTTAAAAGAGCTGCACGCCGTCCATGGACAACATACGAATTAGATTTTGTTCGAGACAACTACAACAATATAGGAGAATACGAGGTTGCAGACCATCTTGACCGCACTCCAGACTCTGTTAAGGCGAAAGCGTACGCTCTTGGAATAGTTCAGTTCTACGACAAAGATTTTGATACGAATGTTACTCTTGAACAGAGACTCGAAATGCTTAAAAACAAGTTGAACCACCTCGACAAAGAAATGGACAATGCCATAGCAGAAGGCGACACTGCGAAATACCTCGCAATTCGTGGCGATTTCGACCATTTAAGAATAGTTTACCAAAGTGTAGAATCACGAATAATGAACAAGAAAAACAAGGTGACGGACAATTACATTCACGAATTATCAATAAACTAAATAAATATGAACAGTATGACAAATTTCAACGTGGTGCAAAAAGATTTTGCAATTAAGAAAAATGAGATTAGAAGGAATTACCAAAATCAGAAAACAGTTCTGGCAATGGAATACCAAGCAAAAAAAATGAAACTTGACATGGAAATGAATTCCGAATTGCGGAAGGTAGAAGTAGAATTTGGTAAGGCACTTGAAGAGTACCGCAAACAAAAAGAACTAATGTTAAACAACTAAATATTACACAGTATGGATTTAAAAAATTTGACAGCAGAGGAACGTGCACAGATAAAGGCACAACTCGAAGAAGAAGAAAGACAGGAAGCAATTGCCGTACAAGAGCAAAAAGATGCCTATCTAAAAATGAAAGATGATTTCTGCGTGAGGAACTTCGAAAAATTGCAGGAACTAAGCAAGGAAATGCAACGAATCAAAGGCGAGATCTTTGCCGATGCCGAAGCCTTGATCAGGATGAAAGATGAATTGTTCAATGTTAAGACAGATCGTCAAAGCAATTCATTCACACACGAGAGCGGGAAGTTCTCCATTACTCTTGGAAATAGAGTGAACGAAGGTTGGGACGATACGTGCGACCAAGGAATAGAAAAGGTTAAGGAATTCCTTAAAACACTTGCGAAAGACGATAACAGTGCTGCTCTTGTAGAGACTATCATGCGATTGATTGCAAAAAACAACAAAGGCGTGCTTAAAGCTTCGAAAGTGTTGGAACTCGAAAAACTTGCAAACAAGATTCAGGCACCGGAATTGTTGGAAGGTATCCAAATCATAAAAGACTCGTACCGACCAAAACCAACATGCCAGTTTATCAGCGTTGCGTTTAAGGACGAAAACGGCAATGATTTAGTATTACCATTATCATTGTCGCAATGTTAGATTTGTCCTACATGTACGCATTGGAGCAACGATATGCTTCAACCACAGACGAAGATGAGAGATTGCATATCTCTCATCTTTTGTCCAAAGAATACGAACTTGTTAATCAATCAACAGAACTTAATTTTGTCTATATGCAAAGCAAATTCAATATAGAAGACATCGCACACGAATGCGATTTCATTATATCGGTTATAGAATCTTGTGAAAACGGCAAACAGCTTCAATCTGCAAGGAATATGATAGATAATTTCTCTGAAAAATATCGTTGTGAAAGCGGAGGATTTAAGCGCAATCACCACGGTTTGGATGTTCGAACAGCATTGGCAGTAATGAATGCACGTGTTGATAAGGTTTGCCACCTAAAAAACATTTTGTTATGATTATAGCCGTTGATTTCGACAATACTATAGCTATCACAGACTTTCCACGAATATTCAGCCCTCGCCCTGGAGTGATTGAAGCTTTGCACAAGCTAAGAAAACAAGGTCACTACATCATAGTCTGGACATGCCGATGCGACACCGACCTACTTAATGCAATCAATTTTATGTTAGAAAACAACATTGAATTCGACCGAATCAACGACAATCATCCGGATGCTGTAAGAAAGTTCGGTTTTAATTCGCGAAAGATTAATGCCGACATATATATAGACGATAAGAATTTGGAAGGGTTTGAAGGTTGGTACCATGTTATGGAAACACTAATTACACAATAATATGCACAGGAACTGGAAATCAAGGTCAATGCTCGTTAAACAGATAGTTGACAACAATTATGAACCACATTCGCATCGAGGATGCCTGCTTGACATCTACCGACGCAAGGTTAAAATGATTTACCCTATGAGCGAAGCTTCGTTTTGGAGAGCTATGCGATATGCAATACGCCACGATGGATTTATCGGTTTAGGGTCTAATCGAGTTTTACGAGAAAAGGCTATGTTCCCAGACCCAAGCGACAGACAATACGAAATGCAATTTGAATAACTATGAAACAGATTTTTTTATCAATACAATCAGAACTGTCAAGAGTTTCCACTTTGAAACATATTGACAAGAACTGGAACCAACTCAACTACGAGCAACCACCTGTTAAATGGCCGTGTGCATTGCTCGACATCGCAAATGTTGAATACTCGCAAATAGCACACCTGCACCAAATAGCCGAAGCCGATGTTGAAGTAATCGTTGCCGATATGCGTTTTACCAACACATCGCTCCGCAATCCCAACCGAGAAGACGGATTCGACATATTCACCTTGCTCGACGAAATACACCAGACGCTGCAAGGATTTGCACCAGCAAACGCACAGCCGTTGGTCCGCACCAACCTACAGAAAGTGGAAACTGGCTATAACTACGAGGTGTATAGAATGACGTACCACACCGCGTGGAAAGTTGAAAAAATCACCGACAGTACAAAAGTACAGTTAGAACCAGTGATTATCGACGATCATATAAATAGAAGATTTACTAATGTAATATAAAGATTATGGAATATAAAATTACTTGCAAAGATTGCATACATTTTCATCCACAACAAACAGTAGTGGATGAAATACGAACAGAATTTGGAACAAAAGCAATAGTGGTTGATGACCCATTGAAACCAGCATTTTGCGACTACATAAATGGTACAACGTCAAGAAATCACGTACCATGCAGATATGGTTTTAAACTTAAAACGACATAACTACCTTTTTAACATAGCCACGCATAAGTGTTAAAAAATTTGAATATTCTTAACATACCGCCGTTTGAACACTGTTTGAACGGCCGGTATGTTGTTTTATTAACAAATCTTGTGTTTTTTTCTGTTGAAAAGTCGTATAATTGCAGTGTAGTTTCTATATGTGAAAGCGATGATTGAATTTTCACTAAATTGGTTTGGTGCTAATTATCCGCAATTAGTTGGTTTTCTTGTTCTTGCTATAGTATTCATCGCAATAGGAATGTTTATATCTAATGTAAGAAACCGCTTTAAAAAGGTTGAGAATACATTGGATGAATTAGAGTGTAGTTCTCATGCAGAAGATATACAGAAACTTAAATCAAAAGAGATATTGCCTTGTAAAGAGCATTCCGAAATATACCATAGTATAAAAGAGGATTTGGCTCGAATTGAAGGTATTTTAACGACTCGAAATCCAAAGATGTATAAGTTTTCGGCAAAACACAGTCCACGCCAATTGAATGAAGACGGATTGAAAGTTTTTAATGAAATAAAAGGACAGGATTTTCTTAATGCAAATTTCCCTTTGTTTGAAGCTTGTATAGATAAGAAACAGCCCAAAACAGCATGGATGTAGAGACGTATTCGTTGGAAGTTTTAATTTACAACTTAAATCTTGATATATTTAATTCTATCAAGAATTTGGGTTTATAATAGTCCGGCTATTGAATTGGAAGATAAAAACGGTGTAAAAATCCGAATATTCAGTAACAAATTTCTGATGTTTGTTTTATTCTTAGTTTGCCTTTAAGAAATATGTATTTTAGACAAACATCCTGAGTTAAAATCAGAAGAGTAATTTCGCATTACTTTCTTGTAATGTCAAGCCACTTTCGAGCTGGCTTTTTTATTTTAGAATCTTCCCCATCCGTTCCTCGATAGTCTTTTTAACCATTTCGTTTATTTTGCGTGGTCGCCTATGAATTGACGTTGTGGAATATGTACGTTGTGTGAACGACCTGCATTAGTAGTTCCTTCGTTGTGAGCAGAAGCATATTCTTTGTTGTCCTTGTTTTTTGCATCATTATAGATATATAGCCTTTCCCTGGTTCAACCTTCCAACGAATAGAACGACCAAGTGCTCCAGTTCTACCCGTTAGGATTTTTCTCCTACCCATTACACCTTTGCCAACGGTAACAACCTTTTTCTTCCCTGATTTTAGTGTAATTGTGCGTGTTTGCCTTCGTTGCACTTCTTTCCACTTTTTGCCGAAGAAACCTTCCTCGCGGAAGTTCTGCTTGAACATTTGTGTGGCACGGTTGGCAACGATTTTAGGAATATCGTTGTCCATTGCTTTTTTTCAGTTGCTCGTTCATCCGAGTGAGACGTTGAGAGAATTGTTCGGGAGTCATACTGGTTTGTTTATGGTTATTGACAAATGTATATATTTGTGTATAATTATCAAAATTAGGAATTACGGAATTGAAAATTGAGGATGAAATTTGTTTCGTATTCCGATACAAATTCGGAGAAATTTGTAATTTTGCAGAAAATAAAGTGATTTGATTTTTGAAAAATGGAATGTGTTTAAGTTGCTTGCGACTTAATTATTTTGCCAAGTAATGGAAATTTCTTATAAAAAAGACGTTAAAAACATATCAAGAGTTTGTGGAGGACCCAGAAGACAGAAAAAAGCGGCGAAATTTCACAAAAGAGTACAATGATATTTGTGAAGCTGCTGTTAAATTACATGAAAGGTTACTTTCTTACAAAACAGCAGAAGATTATAATAAAGTATATGGGAAAACCGACAATAGAATAGAGAAAAAACAAGGAGGCAAAAATAAAGACAATTTAATTCTAAAAACAAGAGTTACAGGTAGTGTACGAAAATTCTTTTATCATGAAAACGAAGATTCAAATTTTGTAAAAGTTGAAGAGTGGGATGGTAATTTTGTTAATGTCACTCACATTTATGTGATAGCAGTAACACCTCACGATTACGAGGTAAAATGATGAAAGTTATGGAAACAACAACAAAACCAAATGTATTTAATACTCTAAATTTCCACAACACAGTTGGGCAGGAATTGTGTGAAATCTGTGCTGTGCATGGAATAAACAATCCAGAGTCTGTGCTACAGATAAAAAATCTATCACAAAAAGAAACATTATCGGACAAGCAGCTTGAAAAAATCTGTACATTATTGAGAATAGTCTCTTTGAAGGATTCTTTGAAAACATTTCAAGAAAACTATGCTCGTATAAAAGAAGCATGCAAAAATTCCTATATCGAAGCAAAAAAACAATTTACGCAGGTAAAATCTGTTTTAACCTCTTCTTAATGGGGAATTTAACAACGGAAAAGATGTATTAGATGATATTCTTGATTTCTTTGGTTTAGACTCCGTAGAGGACTTAATAAAAGATTCCAATGAAGTTGCTGCATTGTATCGAAACAAAATGATACCTCTGTTGATCCAATAAATTTGAAGGCATGGTTAAGACGTGGGGAATTGGATTTTGAAAAAATAAAGCTAAGTGTATATAGTAAAGATGCTCTTCAAAATTGGTTGGATAACAGAGAATGGGAACTTAACATTCAAAATGTTGAATACTTCACAAACTTACCAAATATATTCAAAAATTTTGGGGTTGCATTGGTATTTGTACCATTTTTGCCACATACTGTTTATGGAGCTGTTCGATGGATAAACGGCTTTCCATTGGTTGAAATCTCCGACAGAAACAAAGACTTGGCTACTTGTTGGTTTACTTTATTCCACGAACTTGGTCACGTGCTGTTGCACGAAAATATTGATATATACGAAGGAGAGATTAACGAGAAAAAGAATAAAGTGGATAAATGTGAAAAAGAAGCAAACAAATTTGCTAATAGCTATTTATTCAATGGTGATGATTTGAGAAAAACAGTTTTCGACAGAAAGCGAAATAATGTTATAATGAGTTACTCTGGTTTAGCAAAAGAATTTGAGGTTGATGAATTGTTTTCTTCTTATTGGTTGAGGAAGGCTCAATATCTACCAACTTTTCAAAGACAAATACAAATAGACTTTAGTTCAAATTATTCCATCTAACCCTCTTGACTTTTATTCCATAATTCGTTAATGCGAAAAATAATAGATGATTTGTCGGTTCTTGATACTGTGTTGGAATTTGCAAGCAACCAGCCAATATACAAACAAGATTTTTTCGACCACGACTTACCTAATGACCACGAAGTTACTGCATTTCTTTGTGCCGAAGGCTTTCTTAAAGAGAATGAAAGAAGCTTTGAGATAACCTACAAAGGAAGGATTCATTTGAACAAAGGTGGGTTTGTTGGCGAGCACCGAAAACGTGTTTTCTCCATTATTGTATCTGTTGCAACTCTTGTTGTTGCTATCTTGGGCGTGATTCTTCAATTCTTCGTTTAATGTTCTGCTAATATATGCCAATGCATACAGGCGGTGGTTTTGCTTTGTTTGTTTATTTTCTTTCATAACTCTTGACTTTTATTCTCTAATTCGTATATTTGCAATGCGGGGGGTAGAGTTGCAAATGCAACAGCCTCCCGTTCCTATTTTAGAATACATCATTGTAAACTACAGTCTTTTCTTGAACACAAATAATTCTGTCAAATTTAAGATATTGACCATCGTTGAGCTTTTCAAGACCTCTGTATCTTACAATTGCTTTTTTTAACTTTTCATCTGTGAATCCTCCAAATGGAAAGTCCAAAATAGCGATTTTCGTTTCTTTCTTACTGGCACAATGTTTTAATCCACGTAATATATTATTTATAGTTGCAGTTTCACGACCAGCAACTTCAAATACTTCGTTATTCCATGTGCCTTCAGTAAATCGTTTTCCCCATGTCCCTCCTTGCTCATTCTCAAGAACAACTGCATACCCGGCTTTCATTCCAGCATCTGCAACATTGGTTTCGTACCAGCCTTTATTTTCATCAAGATTGTGTCCCTTATGAACAGCTTTATACCCACCACTTTCCCAATCAAACTTTTGTTTTTTATAGTCTTTATTTTTTAGGTATGGAACAAATTCGTCGTGTCGTTCCATTATTGGTTTTAGTATTGCTTCTGGAACTGATGGATTCTTGCATTTAGCAATATAGCTTGCATTATCAGTAAACACTTCGCCAGTCTCATACGGATTCTTTTCCAAACCTTTTGGTGCTGTTGGTTCGTCGTCTCGATTGTAGTTCTCTGGTTCTTTTGGCTCATCGTCGCATTCCTCTATGTCGCACATACAACCCCATTCCGTCCCTGGTTGGTGGCGTTTCCAAAAGTCATCGTCTTTTCTCCATACTCCATCCCAAAATTGGCGGTGTGTAATTCTTGGATTTGCCGCACGGCTTGGCAACCATTTCAGGCACGGGAACAGTTCCTTTCTGTCGGCTTCGTTGAACTCGCTGAATTGTTTTGCAGTCCTGGCACGTGCCGAGGCTGTTGCAAGTTCCGTTTCGGTCCAGTAACGAAATTGATTTTTGGTTGCTTCGTTCACTGCTTTAAGATCATCACCCGAAAAGGCTTTTGAATTCTCTTCAAACGCTGTTTTAACGTAGTTTGACTTGTATGCTGCAAATCGGCTCACATTGGCACGCAATTGGTCGGAAAGTTCGGGATATTCTTCGCCAAACACATTGTCAACTACCTTACGAAAGTCTTTTGAATACTTTGCGTACAAGTCTTCCAAACTATCATCGGGACTGATAGCGGAAAGTTTAATGATTTGTTTTTCGGCACAACCGCAGGTGCATCCTTCCGGATGTGCCTTTAGTCGAAAAAACCTTTCTCGCGTTCTGCCAAAGTTGCACCAATTCGTGCTTCGAGTGTGCTACCATATTGTCGGTCGCTTACAGGAATACCGAATTTTTCTTCCATCCATTTGCTGTCAACTTCCTTGTATGGAAGAATGTCTTTTACCATGGTCCACAGTTTTTCGCTGTCTTCCACATTAGAGAATCGGAATGTGCATTCAGTTGCAGGCAACCATTCAAGTTTGCGGAATGCCGGCAACACAACCGAGTTGAAATACACTTCGACCATTCGCTGATCGGAAGTAATTAGTTTGTCCAGGATCGTCATAGCTGCTTGTTCTTTGGAATAGTTGCCGTTCTCGGTGTCCTGTCCCATGATTGCGCCGCTTATAAGCAACGACATTTCGTTGTTGCACAGGCGAATCAAGTTGGCATACACATCGCCGTTGGTACTTACGCCTTGTGCAAACTGGAATTCTTCGGTAGTGTCAATCACGAATGCGGCAGCTGCTCCCATATCGCGAAGCATTTCCTCGGCACGCGAAAGCATTGCTTCGTCTTGCGTGTTTGTCTTTACATATCGTGGCGGAATGCCGTAGATTTCGCACAATTCACTCCAACAGCTTTGAGCAAACTTCTTGAACAACACGTGCGGAACCGTCTTGTTGAGCAGGCCTAAATTTCCGCTGTTGAATTCAAGTATGTATTTGCCATATTCGTTAAGTTCTCGGTATGGTATGGCGTTGTCGAAACTTGTGTCCGGGTAGAATAATCCGTTCACATGGTCGATGTTTCTTCGGTTGATTACGACAATTTGCGCCACGTCGTTCACGGATGAGAGTTCCACCAACGAATAACCGAACAATTCACTGTCGAGAATTGCCTTTATCAAGTCCTGAAGAATAGGAATTGCACGAAGTTGTGATGTTATGTCGTCAAGAACATTGCCGTTTTTGTCAACTAATTCAAACTGGCGTGCAATGGTTGATTCGTGTCGGTTGTTGATTTGCGACGTTAGCAGTGCGTCGTTGCTTATTGCAGTGTAAATGTCCTGCAACAAGTATGACTTAGGTTGTTCCGCACGCAACGCCATTCGTTGTGCGTAATTCCAGTCGGCTATGTCCTTCCGTGTCTGATAGACGCTTTTTTTGACTACTCTGTTCGATAAAGTTGGAGTTATAGTTTTCTTCTTTGCCATGATAGTAGAGTTTATTCGTGTTGAAACTTAGGTCGTGAAATCATACGGAACGGTTTCTTTTCGGTTGTGCCTTCGTTTGGCGTTACAGGTGTTGGCGACGGCAAGTCGGTAAGCACCATTTGGCTATTGGCATATTCACCCATTCCGGCTATTTTTTCGAGCGTAGTAATTGCATTGTCGTAGTGTGTCTTCACACGTTCGTAGATTACATCGGGATTGGCAAGTTCACAGATGTTCCAAGCAGCTACACGCTGAACAATCCGCATAACAAACTTGTTGCGTGCGTTGCCTGTTGCATTGAAAATAGCATCGACGTCGTAAAGCTTCCATGCGTTGTATTGTTGTGAATTGAGCCCTGCCATTTCTCTGCGGTTGTTCGATGCATGGAAATAGCTTTTAACCTCCGAAATAGCAGCTTCTATTCCTTCGGTAACAATATCGTCGTTCTCTTCGGTAATTTCTTCAATCTGGTACTCGTAGAGAACAGATTTCATTTCTTCTGCTGATATAAACATAGTTTTAGTGTTTAATGATTAACGATTAGTATCGACGCGATACACGTTTAATTGACACATATTTTGCATCGCTTGTTCTGGTTCGTTGGCTCAACATCCATATTGCGGATTCGAGTGCATCGGGAGCATCGTCGTGTGAACGGCTTCCACGCTCGAACATCAGTAGCTGCTCTTCGAGAACTTGCATTCCCGGTGTGTTCTTCTCTTTTTCGTTGAACACCACAAGACCACGTTCAAACAATGGCTGCATTGCCTCGATACGAGCAAATTTGTCGGGCTTTTTGCGTGAGTCTCCACGAATTGGAACGTGCAAGCCAACCGACGCACCTACTTTCTTGAATTCGTCCAACATCAAGTCCTGCATAAAATTTGACTCCATGTAGTACATAACCGGAACCTTGCCGTCAACAAAATCCATTACTTCGTAATGCCAGTTCACCATTTGGCTCACGCTTGTTTGTCCGGCAAATGCTTTGAGTAAATGAAAATGTCCGTCTGGTGTTTTTCCTACCAACATTGTAGCCTTGTAATCGGCAGTTGCCGAGTTTTTGAACGATGGGTCGGTGTAGCAAATAAGTTGTCGGTAATCTTTCAAAGGAAGCGTCTTTCCGTAATGAATATGCTTTTGTTGGAATATGGCACCTTCAGTCAAAGGGTTGTTCATATATTCCTTCTGAAAGTTGCGTTCACCCATCATGGCACGCATTTCTGCAACTTCGGCAGGTGTGTAGTTTTCCTTCCAAGTAGGATTTCCGTTTTTGTCGAGAATGTTCACCTTGGTGTGATGCACGCCTGGTCTTTCGATTATCTTCGACAATATTGAAGTCTTAGCAATCTTATTGCCAACCATAATAAAACGACCACGCCCAGCTTCCATAGTACCGAACAAAGCCGAAAGAACCCATTCCGTTGCCTTATTCACACGCTGATCATTGCGAACCATTTCGTCGTCGTCAATATCGTCGATAATAATGTAGTCGGGGCGGCGACCGTTCGACTTGATTCCACGTGGCGATTGACCGCGACCAAGCGAAACAAAGTAGCATCCGTCGGATGTTGTAAATTCACCTTCAGCCCAGTTGCCGTCTTTCATTTGGTCGCCAAAATCATTTTTGTATAACTCGTTGAATTCGAGTTGTGCTTGCAGATCAGCCAACAATCTGTCGGCAGAATCTTCACTTTTGCTTACCAATACAAGTGTATGGAACTGCTTTTCTTTCTGGATTTTGAGCCACAGGGGAACAAACACGCCAAAGTGTGTAGATTTAGCATGACCGCGAGCCCACTCAAACACGGCACGTGTATTTGGATTGTTCAATATATAGTTGGCTGCATCTGTTTGGAATTTCCCGCAATCACATCGTGCTATGTCTGGGAAATATGTCTTTACGAAAAAACTGTAGTCTTTCCTGGCACGCTCTATTCTTTTGTGCTTTGAAGAGTCGTCTTCTTTTTTCTTAAAGATTTCGCCACTTTGCGTTGCTTCGTGCTGTCTTCGCCACTCTTTATATATTTCAGTTTTGTATGGATTTGCCATTTTATAGCCGTTTTTACAAGTCCAAAATTCCCGCTTTTGGCACGGTTATAAAAAAATGGCGTTCAAATTGATAGTGATTTTTCCAAAGGTGTTTTTTCTGTTGAATTTTTGCTATGTCGAAATAAAAACGAAATGGCAACAAAGAATGAAATGAACGAAAAACAGAAAATTGCATTTACCTTATTTATGCAAGGTAAAACGCAAAAAGAAATAGCCTTGAGTCTTAAAGTAAGCGAAAAGACTGTTGGCAATTGGGCAGAAAAAGAATGTTGGAGTGAACGAAAAGCAGGAGCTGGAATTACCAGGTCCGAAATCGTGAACAAAACGCTTATATATGCCAACAAACTTTTGGAAAAACTAAATTCCTCCGACATTGATCTTGCAAATACCGGCAAGGTTATAGACCAAATCGTTAAACTTTCTGCAACAATCCAGAAAATCGACAAACAAACTACCGTGGTTGATGCGATAGAAGTGTTCCAGGCATTAAACAAATGGTTGCGAAACCGTATGGAATGGGACAAATCAATCACTCCTGAACTATTGCAGCAGTTCGACTACTATCAAGATCTCTATATCACAGACCAAATAAACAAGAAATAATATGACACGATTCGTACTTTGCGATGGCAACAACATAAACAGTTACGGGTTCCGCACGAACCTGAACGGCTTGAACCTTGAACGGTTCAAATCTAACCCTGTAATGCTTTTCTCGCACGACAGCGAAAAAGTTATTGGCCGTTGGGACGATATAAAGATTGAAGATGGAAAGCTTACCGCTGAAGCCATATTCGACGAAGAAGACGAAGACGGAAAGAAAATAGCCGGGAAAGTAAAACGCGGATTCCTCAAAGGATGTTCGATAGGTATGTGCATATACGATATGTATGAAGACGAAAACGGCATATTGATAGTTTCTAAAAGTGAACTTATGGAAGCTTCAATTTGTGCGATACCTTCCGATGCAAACGCAATTGTTCTATACGATAAAAATCGTAAACGATTGTCGGTTGACGAAGTGAAACAAATGTGTTTAAGTATTAACCATAAAAATATCATTATGACTGAACAAGAAATTAAACAGTTACAGGCAAGTGTGTCGGAAAAAGACACGAAGATTGCCGAGTTGCAAAAAGAAAACACTGAGTTGAAATCTCAGATTGCAACTGCTAAGAAAAATGAAGTTGAATCATTCCTTGCGGCAAAGATTGCTGAAGGGAAAATCGACGAGTCGGAAAAAGAAGGTTTCGCCAAATTGGCAGTAAACGACTTCGAGACAGTTAAATCAATTGTTGACGGTCGCAAGCCAAAACAAACATTGTCGTTGGCAAGCTTGCAAAGCTCTGGAAAGCAAAACACTTCCGGACGCGACAATTGGAACTATCTTCAATGGATGAAGGAAGATCCTGAAGGATTGGCTCGTTTGAAAGCAGAAAATCCAAGTGAATTTGAACGTCTTCAAAAGACACTTTAAACAGTAGTATAACCCCTTAAAAAACAAAAAGTCATGTTAAAACAAATTTTCGTAAACATCATCTTGGCGTTGTTCTACCCTGAATTTTCATGGTTGAAGGAACTTACGTCAATGGACCACATGGTATCGGCAAACAAAATCAATCTTGCCGAAGTAGGTGCTGATCCTGAAGTAGTAAAAAACAACAGCGTATGGCCATTAACGCCAACTCAACGCACCGATACAGGTATTGAGATTGTGCTTGCCACGTTCGACACCAAACCAACACACGTAACCAACGTGGAGGAAATGGAAACGAACTACAACAAATGTGAGTCGGTAGTCCGTCAACACGCCAGCGCATTATCAACAATGGCAGCATTGAGCGCGGCACACAACATTGCTCCGGCAAGCCATACGGCGGCAACTCCAGTTCTTGCAACGACAGGTCAAGACAGAGGCGACGGCAACAAGGCATTGACGTACAAAGACATTCTTCGTCTCCGCACGGCATTCAACAAACAAAACTATCCTATGGAAGGACGAATCTTATTGCTTTGCCCTGAACACGAGGAAGATTTGCTTGCCGAAGATGTTGACCGCTACAACCGTATAATGACAACTGGTCAAGTTGCAGGATTCAAGGTATATTCATTCAATGGCAACCCTAACTACAGTACTGCAGGTGTTAAATCTGAATATGGTACAACAAACGCACAACCTTCATCGGTTGCATTCTGCAAGAGCGAGGTAATGCGTGCAATGGGAACAATAGAAGGCGAGCCAGAGAAACGCTGGGCAGACTATCGCGGATGGTTGCTTGGATTCCAAATGAGATTCGTTGCAATGCCATTCCGTAGCAAAGGTATAGCTGCAATCTATAGCGCGGTATCGAATCCTGATGCTCCAGAAGTAACTATTACTGGTGCGGACACAGTTGAGGCAGGTCCAACAGCAAAATCATACAATCGCACGTATGCTGTAAGCAACGGATCTCCAATCTCGGTAGCGAAAGACGATGAATCTGCTACTTGGTTGACAGTATCGGCTAATGGCAACAAGGCAACGATTGCGGTAGAAGCATTTGCTTACGATGCCGAAGCTGAGGAAAACACTCGTACAGCAACATTCACTGTGAGTGCAGGCGAAGCAACCAAGACAGTTACGGTAACTCAAACAATGGCAGAAGCCTAGTGTGGTTATACGTTAAGAGTTAATAGCGAATGCTTTTAACTCTTAATTCTTAACACTAAACTATGATGTCGCGTCAGAGTTATAGAAGATTAACACGAGAAGTTTCAAAACTTCAAATTGCCGTTGAGAAGAAAGCACTTGCATTTGTGAAGAATGAGCGTGTTCCACTATGGATTCGTCGCATTAAGCTAAAACAATTGCAAAAGAAGGGTTGGTTACTAACGACTGAATTATAACATGAAAGCTATCTGATCCATGAGGACCATTAAGGAACTGATACTCCACTGCACTGCAACGCCCGAAGGGCGAAATGTCTCCGTTGAACAAGTGGATGAAATGCACAGGTTACGAGGATTTAAGTGCATTGGGTATCATTTCTTAATCGGTTTAAAAGGGGAAATTCAAAACGGAAGAGCAATAGAACAAATCGGTGCTCATTGTACTGGAAGAAATCAAAACTCTATAGGCATAGCCTATGTTGGCGGTGTTGATAGGAATAACAAACCAAAAGACACAAGAACTCCAGAACAGAAACAAGCACTAAAAAAGTTGGTTGAAGATTTGAAGAAACGCTTTCCTGGTGTAACAGTTCACGGACACAACGAATACGCAAACAAGGCTTGCCCGAGTTTCGATGTAAAAAAAGAGTTTTAATATGGAATGGACTACAATAATACTATCGGTGATAACACTGCTTGGTGGCTGTGGTTGGTTGTTCGACCATAAGAAGCACTCGGAAGAAATCGAAAGTCTTAAAAAGGACAATGACCAAAAGGATATGCAGCTTGCTAAAAGTTATGTGGAAGAATTCCGCGACAATATAGCAAAGCCGTTGCAGACCGAAGTAAAAGGATTGAGAAGAAACGTAAAACAATTGACAAATGCAGTTGAAAAAGTTAACGATTGTGACTATCGTAGCCAGTGTCCTGTTCGTGTTGAGTTGCAAAAGCAGTCAGCAGATACACGAGACGGTGAAGATTGTTGAAGTACATGATACGATTCGTATGTCGGAACTTAACGACCGACACGATAGCGTTGTCTATATCTATCGCAACGATACGGTTATGATTGACCGTTGGCATAGCAGATTGATTGTCGATACCGTGTATAAAAACAATACTGAGTATGTACACGACACGTTGAAGGTTGAGCAAAAGATTGGCAATACGAAAGAAAGAAACTGGACGTTGCAAGACGATTTAAATGCCTTTTTAATAGGAATTTTTATGATGGCGTGCATTGCTTTCGGCGCAAAAATATGTTACACAATAACGAGCAAATATAATAAGAACTACTAAAACAAAACAATATGTTACCACGTGTAAAAATCACATTTGAAAACGGATTGATTGGGGCAACAGATCCAATTGATGACGGAGTTGCAGGAATGATTTGCAACGGTTCTGCCGTTACAGGCAAACTTGCACTTGCAACAGTATATCTTGTTACCAAACTTGAAGATTTGGCACCTCTTGGAATTACCAATGGTGAAAGTGATGCAAACAAACACATCTACAAAGCCGTTCAGGAATTCTACTCTGAAGCACCAGAAGGTTCAAAACTTTGGTTGTATGTTGTTGACGACACAAACACAATGGCACAAATGCTCGATAAAGACGGAACAATTGGCAAGGACTTTATTAACGCGACCAAAGGAGAAGTTAAAATCCTTACAATAGTTCGTAAAGCATCGGAGAGCTACGAACCAACCATTGTTGACGAACTTGATTCCGATGTTTTGGCAGCAGCAGCAAAAGCTCAGGCATTGGCAGAATGGGCGTGCGAAAACAAGTATGCACCATTCTTCACAATTCTTCCCGGACTATCGTATTCTGGAACTGCTTCGGAATTGGCTGATTTGTCCGAATATGGCTACAACCGTGTAGGAATTCTTATTGGCGACACGGTTAGCGGTAGCGGTGATGCCTGTGTAGGATTGCTTCTTGGTAGAATTGCTTCTATTCCGGTTCAACGATCAATCGCAAGAGTAAAGACTGGAGCTATTTCCGAAACAGAATTGTACATCGGTTCTGTTGTTGCCGAAAATGGCAATCCAGATGTTATTCACGATGCAGGCTACATTTGCCCACGCACATTCGTTGGTAAGGCTGGCTATTTCTGGAGCGACGACAAATTGGCAACTTCTGCAAGCGACGACTATGCTCTTATCCCTCGACGCAGAACAATAGACAAAGCGTTCCGCATTGCCTACAAAACTTTGATTGAAGAGTTGAGCGACGAAATTGCATTGACAACAGACGGCAAGATTCCAGCACAATTGTGTAAGTCATTGGAAGCAGTTGTTGAAAGTGCCATTGTTACCTCTATGGGCGAAAACCTTGGTACTGATCCTGACGACCAAACCGACAAAGGTGTTCAATGTTACATTGACCCTGACCAGGTTGTTGTAAGCACATCGAAAGTAGATGTTAAACTTCGTGTTAAGCCATTTGGCTACTTGAAGTACATTGACGTGTACCTTGGCTTTAAAGTAGAGTAAAAATCATTAAACACTAAAACTATGTTCAACAGTAGAGAATATGAATATGCCGATATTACGGTTTATTTAGGAGGAAAAGACCTTACAGGACTTCGTGGCATTAAATACAGTGTGAAACAAGATAAAGAATTGATTTACGGAAAAGGAAACCTTCCTCACTCAATTCAAAAAGGAAACAAATCGTATGAAGGAGAAATCACGGTTTTGCAAAGCGAATTGGAAACATTGATTGCCAATTCTCCAAAACGCGACCTTATGGATTTACAGTTCGACACTGTTGTTTGCTACGGAAATCCGTCAAATGGTGATGTTATGATTACCGACAAATTGGTAGGTTGTCAAATCACCGAATACAGCAAAGAATTGAAACAAGGAGACAAATTTATGGAAGTGTCGTTGCCAATCATCTTCTTGCGTAAAGAATAAATGTAATGTAACACTGGTAGAGACGCGATTAATTGCGTCTCTACATTAAAACAAACCCTCATGGAAAAAGAAACAAAAACATTAATCGGTCAGGCTACCGATGAACAAATAGCCGAATGGAAAAAACAATATGGCGAAGTATGGGCTGCAACGTGCGATGGGCACATTGCATATCTAAAGAGACCAAGCAGAAAAGCGTTAAGCTATGCAAGCGTTGCCAGCAATAACGGTAAAGACCAAATAAAATTTGTTGAAACAATATTTGACGACTGCTTTATTGGTGGTTCGGAAGAGTTCAAAAAGAACGATGCATTCTTTATGGGAGTTAGTAAAGTCCTAACAGAACTTGTTGATATAAAAAATGTCGAGTTGGGAAAGTTGTAACAGCATCAACCGTAAAAGACTCAGAAGTAATTAGAAAAGTTGATGCTCAACTACGGTATTATTTCCACATTCAAAACCCAGAAGACTTGACAGACGAAGAATGGGCAATGCGATTGAATGAACTTAAATGGATTCGAGAAGAAGAAGCAAAAGCGAATAAGATTAATTTTTAGTCTTCTTCGTCTAATATATGAGGTTCATTCGTGTGAAGTACATCTTTTTTGCTTATAAAAAGATACCAAAACAACCAAATTGCAAATAATAGTGTTAGCATAACGAGTATATTTTTTGATTTTGCAATATACAAAATAAAAAAGAAAAAGTCAATGGCTGATAATAAAGTTAAATATATAATCTCTATTGATAGTAAATCAGGAGAAGCTAATATAAAGAATATAAAAGCAGAATTTGATAAAACATCAAAATCTGTTTCTTCTCTAAAAGAAAAACTTGCTTCTTTTGGAAAAATATCAATTGGTGTTGATTATATCGTAAAAACTTTCAATGTCTTATCTGGCGTAGCAAACGAATGTTATTCTGCATGGCAAGCACAAAACGAAGTTGAGACAAAACTTGCTGCCGTAATGAAAAATACAATGGATGCGACTCAAGACGAGGTTAAAAGCATTCTTGATTTGGCAGCAGCTCAACAGAAACTTGGTGTTATTGGCGACGAAGTTCAATTGGCAGGTGCTCAAGAACTTTCTACATATCTTGGAAAGAAGGATTCATTGGAGAAATTATTGCCAGTGATGAACGATATGCTTGCTCAGCAATACGGTTTAAATGCAACTCAAGAAAGTGCTGTAAGCATTGCTACCATGATGGGTAAGGTTATGGATGGTCAGGTTGGAGCGTTGAGCCGATATGGCTACAAATTCGATGAGGCACAAGAAAAAATCCTCAAATTTGGTACCGAAGAGGAACGAGCTGCAACACTTGCCGAAGTTGTCTCAGAATCAGTTGGTGGTGTTAATGCTGCACTAGCAGAAACTGATGCTGGAAAGTTAAAACAAGCATCAAACAATTTTGGAGACTTACAGGAACGTTTTGGTCAATTCATAGAAAAGACAAAAGTCGCAACACTTCCTTTATTGAATACATTTGCAGGAATAGCAGAATCAGTATTGCCTATTCTTGACACATTTATAGAACCACTAACCAATGCGATTCAATGGCTTGTTGGTAAAATAAACTGGCTTGCTCCAATTCTTCATAAAATGTTTGCACCTGCTTTGAATATATTAAAGCAGATGACTGACAAAACAGGCAACTTACATTCAATGTTTGGTTCTATTGGTAACCTTTTTGCAACAACCATTCTTCCAGCATTACAGAATATGTTCAATTGCCTATGGGAAGTTATTGGTGCGGTAGTAGAGTTTTATAATAATTCTGAAATGCTCAAAGACATATTCTCTGGACTTATGAGCATAATCGGAGGCTTCTTTGACATATTATCTGGTGTGTTTTCATTGTTAAGTGATTTGTTCATGAATGTGATTCTACCTATTTGGAATGTATTTGAATGGGTATATAGAAAAGTCAAAGAACTGATTACTGGCAAACCTGTAAAACAAGAGAAATCACCTACATCTACAACACCAAGTTCTGGTTCTACAATGGAGAACTTGAATGCAAGTGTCAATTCTGGTGTAAGTAATACATCACTAAACAAAGAACTTGGTTCTAAAACCGAAGCCGTTGCCACTGGTGGCACTCGAAACACTGTTGTAAACATTCAAATGGGTAAATTCTTCGACAATATGATATTTAACGGAGGTGTGAGCGAGAACTCGCAAGACATAGAAAAACAATTCCGTGAGATGCTATTGCGTGTATTGTATTCGGCACAAATGAGTTAATTCTATGGCAGATAAAATCAATCCATATCAATCGCATCAGTTCGCATTCGGTTACAATGTGCTGCAACCTGTTGTTCCATTTCAGCAGGTAGTAGATCCAAATCAATTGATACGAATTGAAACGAAAAGGAATATCACAGAGTCAGAATTTGTACTTGATAGGAATCGTTTTGTTAATCCTGTTGAACTTAGTTCTCCAACAAAGGGAACGACTTGGGAAATTCCTGTTGATCCATTGATTAGCGTTAGCGGTAAGAACAACATTGTACGTCGTTATGTTGCTAAATCACGCAATCATGGAAGTATAAAGGAGTTTTGGAGCCGTGATGATTTTGAGGTTACGATTACTGGTGTGCTGCTTAATCTTCCTGATACAGAAGAATTAAAGAGTATCCGTGATATTTGCGAGTCAGAAGAGGCGGTTAAAATAATTTGTCCGTATCTAAATGATACTTACAATATAAACTATTTGGCAATCGAAACTTTCGATTTTCCATTTACGAAAGGTGAAGGAAACTATCAGTTTACAATAAAAGGCTACAGCGACGAAGACTATCCAATTTTAACGAATCCAAAATGAAACGATTGACTTGGGACATATCGATAGGTAAATACAAGCTCGCAATGGTTGAGAGTGTTAAGGTTGTACGTTCAGTCGAAAACCTTGCCGACACTGCCGAAATAGTTCTTCCTGCTACTGTTATAAATAAGACTATTGAGGTTGAAAGCAAGTTGACAAAAGGCGATGCTGTAAGCATTTCTCTTGGTTATGGAGACAAACTTCAAAAAGAATTTGAAGGCTATTTAAAAACCGTTAAAACCGATGGCGGAAGTCTTACGTTGGAATGCGAGGATGCACTGTTTCTATTCCGTGTTCCGATGAAAGACCAGGAAATACAATCGCCATCGGTAAAAACATTGCTACAGATGTGCGTCAACGAGGTTCGCAAACAGAAAGGCATTGCAATTAAGATAGATTGCAACTATAGTTTCAGCTACGACAAGTTCGTGTTCAGCAATGCCACCGCGTTCGACGTGCTTAAAAAGATTCAGGACGAGGCTAAGCCAAACGTGTATATGAAAGACAATGTGCTGCACGTGCATCCGCAGTATTCCGAGATATTCGGTTCGGTGGTGTACGACTTCCAAAAGAACATCGATCGCGATGGCAACGATTTGAAATATGTGAAAAAAGAAGACCGAAGGACATTGGTAAAAATAGAATATACCGATTCCAAAGGACACAAAAAGACGGTAGAATATGGAGACGCAGGTGGAACAGTCAAGAAGAAACGAGGTGGAACTGCAGATGTTGCCAGTTTAAAGTTGTTGGCAAAAAACGAATATGAATCGTACTGCTACGACGGCTACGAGGGAAACATTACGAGTTGGTTGTTCCCATATTGCGATGCTGGCTACAAGGCAACCATCAAGGATGCCGACTATGAATACAAAGAAGGCACATACTACGTAACAGCCGTGACGGTTGATTTCAGCCAAAACGGAGGGAAACGAATTGTTCAATTAGGAAAACGAATTTAGTATGTCGAAAGATCGTGATATAAAGGAAGCAATTCAGCAGATTGCGAGAGAAGGAGGAACTCTACAAGGAATGTTTTATGTTGCCGATGTTGTTTCTGCATCAGACGACGAATGCGTTGTTGATATTGACGGTTTGCAACTTTCTGGCGTGAGAACTGGTGCCATTGTTGACGACAATACAAATAAACTTCGCATAAAACCGAAAGCTGGATCTAAAGTTATGGTTGCCGATTTATATGGCGACAAAACACAGCTTATGGTCGTTTCATTTTCTGAAATAGAATCAATTACAATCAACGGCGGCAATCTTGGCGGATTGGTAAATATTGCGTCATTGACGGAAAAGTTGAATGATTTGGTGGATAAGTTTAATAATCATACGCATTCTGTATCAACGAAAGGAACAGCAACTGCACAAGCAGGAACAGCAGCTGCAACATTAAATCAAGCAAATCCATTCAACGAAAATGATTACGAAGATGAAAAAATAAAACACTGATATGAAAGGCATTTGTTTAGATAGCATGACATACGACGCAATGGTAAAACCACAACGCAATTCGCTTGGTTTGATTACCGATGGATTGGTTGTGGGTGATACCATGTATCAGAACGAAGCTTTGATACTGATTTCGCACCAGGGCGAGTTTAAGGAAAATCCTTTGCTTGGCGTAGGTGTAGAAGATATGGTGAACGACAACGATATTGCACAGTGGGAACACTCAATTCGCGTGAACCTATCACGCGACAATATGGATGTTCGTACTGCACGAATAGATAGGATAAACGGAAACATAACAATTGAGGCTCAGTACAAATGAACACGACAGTAAAAAACGGACAATCGCTATTCGACATTGCTATTCAAGAATGTGGCAGTGCCGAGTCGGCTTTCGAGTTGGCGTTGATGAACGGACTTGCTTTGAGTGACGAGCTCGTGAATGGTCAGGTTCTGGAACTGCCAGACGTTGCCGAAAAACAGATTGTGCGACAATATGCAGTTGATAATGTATTCCCAGCAACTGCAATAAAACCAGAGCAATACAACGAAACAATAGAAGGCGAAGGCATTGAATTCTGGGGAATTGAATTTGATTTTATAATTAGTTAGATATGGCAAGAACAGTAAAAGAAATAAAGGACGAAATGACAGCAGAATTTATATCAAATTCTACTGTTGTTGAAAAATACGGATTGGACTCAACTAAGACTTTCGAAGAACAATTTTCAAAAGCAAGCATCGAAAGCATTCTATTTTATGTGTTTGCATTTTGTGCCTGGACAGTTGAGAAACTTTTCGACACCCACAAAGCAGAAGTAACGAACTACATAGACGAAATGAAGCCGCATACTTTGCGATGGTATGTGAACAAGGTAAAGGATTTCCGATTTGGTCAGTCACTAATAGAAGATACTGACAAATATAGCGACGAAGGTCTTACAGAAGAAGAAATTGACGCAATGAAGATTGTGAAATATGCTTCTGCCGACGAGATAGACGGAAAGCTGTACATTAAGGTAGCTAAAGATAATGGTGGTGTTCGGTCTGTATTGACCAGCGAAGAGGAAACAGCACTTCTTTACTATGTCAAAGAGATGAAGGATGCTGGCGTGAAAGTAGAGATACGAAATGCTCCTGCAGTAAAATTCGCAATAGATATTGATATATATTACAATCCTCAGATTATAAACAGCGAAGGAGTTTCTTTATCTGACGGAGGAACACCTGTTGCTGATGCGATAAAAAACTATATAGAGAATCTTCCATTCAACGGAGAATACCGGAATGTCGATTTGGTTGATAAGCTACAACAAGTTCGAGGTGTGAGCATACCTGAATTACGTGCCGCATATTCTAAAATTACTAATGAATCTGCATATTCAGTAATCAATGCGGTGGAATACCCATATAGCGGTTACTATGCATTTGACCAGGATAATTCAAAAATAAACTACATACCGTATGCAAATATATAATGTTGATTTCAAGAGGCTAGCTTTACTATTGGTGCCGACAGTATTGCGAAAACCAATCATTTTTGCAATACTGAAATCGGCTGTCAAATCGTATGAATCATTGCAGGGAAATATGTTTTCGTATAGGCAACAATGTAATGTTCGTATTACGCATACACCGCAAACATGTTACATAAAAGGTATTTTGAACGATACATTTTGCGAAGGAACAACAGAACACTTTGATATTGTTGACACAGAGTCTATATATGGAGAATGGCTGATTACCTATCAGGAAAATCATGCCGAAAAGTATGGAGATATTATTCCTATAGTAGATACGGAAGAATATACCATTATCTACACGGAAAATGCAATCAACGAAATAACAGAAGACTTTGTTGTATTGTTTCCTTCTGGTGTAGGAATAGCAGAAAATAACGATTCTTACCGTAGAATGATAGCGATAGTAAACGAATACAGATTATCAAGCAAAAAACCGCAATATCAGTTACAAATGAAATAAAAATAATAGTTATGGATAAACAGAATTTTTTAGCACCGGAATACAACGGAAAGTTTCCAATATCTGCAAACACATTTGAATTTATGCAGAATCAGACTGAATTTGTATCAAGTTTAGGGTCTATATTTGGACAAAATGTCTTGCTTAAATTTGCAACATCTACAAGAGATGGTCTTATTGTTTTTCAGGGAGAACTTTTACCGCTTCGATATGCAAGTGGTGTTACAATTAACTATTACAATTTGGTAGAAGAAACAGAAGATATAATTGCGCAAGGAGTATTGTATAAAGATGCAAGGAAAATTCGTTATGTACGAGGAGAAGCGGCATCTGTAGGAAAATCTGTTAGTGCAAATACAGTTGTTGATCTAACAGGAAACAAAACAACAAACATCGCGAATCAATTCCTTCCAAAGGGTGCTATAATTATGTGGAGTGGTAGTATTGCAAGCATACCTGCAGGATATGTTTTATGTGATGGACGTGCAGCAATCAATGGAGTTACAATCCCTAATCTTCAAGGACGATTTATAGTTGGTTATAGTTCATCTTCCGGCGATTACCATACAATAGGCAGTACAGGCGGTGAAGAAAAGCACACTTTGACTGCAGCGGAAATGCCACAGCACAGACATGGAATTGTAGGTGAGGCAGGCGAAAAGAGCGGAACAGGAACTGCTGTAGCCTATGTAAGCAGAATTAACGACACTGCCGGTAGCGGTGCTATTGTTACAGGTCGATACGAAACAAGCACAGCAGGATCTAGCAATGAACATGAAAATAGACCTCCATATTATGTACTTGCGTTCTTAATTAAAGTTATATAGAAAAAATTTAATTAAGAACTGGTATTATTAAAGTTTTAAACATTGTTAAAATATTGAAAAAATGGCAAAACAAACATTGCAAATACTAAAAAGTTGGTTTGTTCGCGGAGCTAAACCAACACAACAACAATTTTCGGATGTCTTTGACTCGTATGTACACAAGGATGAAACGATTCCACAAGAGAAGGTGGAACATTTGGGAGAAACGCTTAACCAATTACAAGAAAGCGTGACAACAGCATTAGAAAATTCGATTGAAAATGTTACTGTAAACGGAACTCCTGTAAAAAAGACAGACAAAAGTGTGAATATTGTTATTCCACAATCAGACTGGAACCAAAATGACGAAACTGCTGATGATTATATAAAGAATAGAACGCACTGGCGAGAGGCAGTAGAAAATAAAGAATACATAGTTGAAAATGTATCGTTAGATACGGGAAGAAGTCATTCTGTTGATATAGATGTATTATCTGGTGAATACTATGTTGTTATAGATAATGGTGAACCTGATAAATGTACTATAATAACTCAAGTTATAGGCGGAAGACATTATCAATGGATAGGAACTTTACAGCAATTTGGTATAGGTGGACAGTCAGACGTTCCAAGCAAATACTGGTGTCTGCAAGGAATACAAGAAACAATGGCAACTTTTGGCTGTACACTGTTTAACAGAACAGGAGCATCTCATACCTTTACTATTTATAAAAAATCTGACAATGTAGA